TTGTGATAATTATCTAGGACTTGATATGTGTTATGCTTACTGTGCTTGATATGGTTATGATTGTTATGCTTATTATGCTTATTATGTGTTAGCAGTAGGAGGGGTGAAATAGTCCCTGGTTACCGGTTGAAAGATACCGAAGGAGAGGGTAGTTCCCAGATACCAGTTGAAAGATACCGAAGGGAAGGGTAGTTCCCGGTTACTAGTTGAAAGATACCGAGTTGGAGTCCAGCTCCCGGTTATGCTTGACAGTTACCGGTCGAAAGATACCGAGGGTCATGTATTATTTTGGTATGGGTATGATGGGGGAACTCACTAAGCTTCGTGCTTACAGTTTTAGTTTTGGTTTCAGGTACCTCTTCGTCTAAGGGGAAGGAGCCGGCGGTGTAGCAGCGCATCACACACACATGGTTTCCGCATTGAGTTTCTGGGATTGTACTCTGATTTTCATTACTTCTGATGATATGGTTTTGAGACACGACATTATGGTTTTTATAAGTTGATGTAATATTGACAATGTTTTGGTGAACTGTTTTATGAATTACTTAATTAAAAATGAAAATTTTTTGCCACGAAATTGGGGATGTTACAGGTGTCCTAGGTGGCGTCAATTGTGAAACAATTCCACATTCCTTAAGAGAGTCATGGAACTCGATACTAAGATACTCTCCTCCACGATTGGATAGAAGCATCTTTATCTTCCCGCCCAATTGATTCTCCACTTCTTGCTTAAACTCTTTGAACTTTTCAAAGGTTTTTGACTTATGCTTGATTAAGTAGACATACCCATATCTACTATAATCATCAGTAAAAGTCACATAGAAGCGGTTAGCATCCGTTGTGGCGGTTCTGAAGGGTCCACAGACATCAGTGTGTATGAGATCCAACAGACCCTCACCCCTTGCACAAGACCAGTGAAGGGTGACTAGGTCATCTTTCCAAGCAAACAAGATTCACAAGTTTCATCTGAGTTTAAGTCAAATGAATCCAAAACTCCATCCTTTTGGAGTTGGGCTATTCGCTTCTTGTTGACATGTCCAAGACTACAATGCCATAAGGATGCTTTGTCCAAACCATTGGACGAATCGATATGCAACACATTATTTCCTAAGTTATCAACAACTATCACAGTTTCATATATACCATTACAAGGCAATGCTTCAAAATAAAGTACATCATTAAAATAAGCATTAAAACCACCAATTTCATTGTTAAAAGAAAAGGTAAAACCTTGTTCATACAAACTGTGAAAGGAAATAATAATCCTCTCCATATCAGACGAGTAGCAACAATTATTCGATTCTAATTTTAAACCATTACTATGAAATAAATAATAAACTCCAATCTTAGTGACAAACGACTTTTTCCTATTCCCATGATCAAGTTCATCTTCCCGTGCTCCACATCCCTACTTTCTTTTAGTCCCTGCAAATCAGAACAAATGTGAAAACCACATCCTGTATCAAGGACCCAAGAATTAGCATGTGATGATTTATTAGACAGAATAGTGTAAATACCTACGAAGGAGGGTTTGATCTTCCCATCCTTTATTTCCTGCAAGTATTTGGGGCAGCTTCGCTTCCAGTGCCCTTTTTCATGACAATGGAAACGCTTTGCTTCCTTTGGGTTTGAGGAGGGTGTAGCAGGACCACCTTTGGACCCACTAGAAGAGGATCCAACATGGGACTTTCCCTTGTGGCTCTTTGAGGAAGCTTTCCTCTTCTTTTCCCTTCCCATGTCCAATTGCCAAGACAGGCGCAGTAGCAGTAGGAGTAGAAACAACAGATTTTCCTTTAAGACTATTTTCAGCAGTCCTTAAAAGGCCTTGAAGCTTGCTTAGAGTGACCTCCTCCTTGTTCATATCATAGGTCATACGAAACTGATCATAACAAGGAGGTAAAGAGTGTAGAATGATATCTGTGGCCAACTCTTCATCGAAGTTGACATTCAACTTCAGCAAGCGGTCTATAAACCTTTGCATATTTTGCAAGCGGGTCGTGATGGACTCTCCATCCTTCATTTTGGTAGTAATCATGGAGGCTATGATATCATACCTTTCCTGCCGTGCAATTTGATGTTACCTTTCCATCAAATCCTGATGCATTTCATAAGGCCAGAAGTCCTCATAGGACTTCTGAAGCTCAGCAGTCATGGTAGCAATCATAATACACAACACTTTGGTCGCTTCCCTCTCATGGGCCTTGTATTGAACAATATGTTTGGGAGTAGCAGTAGATTCATCAATCTCCTTAAGCTCTTTATCGATAACATATTCTTTGTCCTCGTAGCGAATGGCCATTCGGATGTTTCGAATCCAATCATTGATATTCGTTCCATCGAAGATGACCCTCCCACATAAGTTCATGAGGGAGAAAGAGTAGGAAGGGATTGGGGTTGAAGTATTGTTTGAAGTAGACATCTAAAAAGAAAGACAATTTTTAGATTACATAAGGATCCTTAATATAACACCCAAAAATGAAATATTAAGGCTAGGAGCCAACACAATATTTTACAATTCGGAGAGGGATGTCGTAATCCAACTGTAAAATATTTGAAGGTAGGTAAATGACGATTTACCAATTCCCACCATGAAAAACGAAATAGATTATTAAGTATTAAATGAATTGAAATTCCTAGATTCTTTTGAGATTCATTGAACTTTTCAATGGAATGTTTAAATCTCGATTATGCCCTTCAAGTTTGTGATTGGGATACCGAGGATCACAAACAAGGTGTGAATAACCATGCAAATTAGCTTGGTACTCTCAATGTTACAAATCACCTAATCAATGTGCCGGTTGACCACACATGCTCCATTGATCCATGATTAACACCAAGCCACCCTTTGCCACACATTGTCGATACCATATTAGTGTGTCGGTTAACCACACACACTCCACTAACGACTTAACAAGGTGCAAAGTGAAATTTCATGGAATAGCACCATTTTCAACTTTTTCCTAAAGTAACTAAGATTGAAAATTAATAAAAGTTTAGTTACTTTATAATTATACTTATTAATGAGAATTAATATCCTATCATACCCGTTCAGCTAACGACCCTCCACGAGTCAAGGAAGCGGTGGGTGAGATTGGAAGCCCATTAAACCACCATTTTATAGGCAGTAACCTTATACTCCCGTTATTGATTGGCTTCGTGAATGAGGCCTACTAACGGTAAGACTGACTTGTCTTATACATACATATATATATATATATATATATATATTATAGATATATATATATATATATATATATATATATAAGTATTAAACTTTAATATTATAATAGTATAGGGTTGAATTTTAAACTTTTAAAATTCTAGGGTTTGGAATTAAAGTTTCATAAATGTAACTTTTCATGTTACAAAACTTGAGGGCAAGTTTTGTAACTTGTCAAAACCTTTGATTTCCATAACATATGGATTTATGGTTTCATTGATGAGACTTTTCCAATTCCATAACTTGAGGACAAGTTACGAACTTTACAAGAACTTTGGAATTTCATAACTTATGAGAATTAATGTTTCATGAATGATGACTTTTCACATTCCATAACTTGAGGACAAGTTATGGAACTCTTCAAGAAACACTTCTAGATCAAATTAACTAATCCAATTATCATATGATAATTATTTACCAACTTGACCTAATTTGATTCATATTACATCATAACTTCAAATTTTACAAATAACTAGTTTTTTCACAAATCAAGTAATTATCTTAAAATTTGATAACATCATGTTATTGGATGGGGATTAACATTACCATATCATTAAAATCGAATTTTATGAACCAAAACAGTTTTTTGTAATGTTCCTAATCCAAAACAGGCCAAAAACTCAAAGATTCTGCCATCAGATGCACCAACTCGTCAAGTGCCATAATGGACTCATCGAGTTCGAGGAAAACATCATCCAATTCGTCGAGTTCAATGATGGACTCGGTGAGTTGGCCCTGGCAGAATCCCGAAATGCAGTTTTTCATCTTTGAAAATTACACAATTGCATCAATACAATAGAAAACACCCATGGCTCCGATACCACTGTTGGGTTTTATGTACTCTAACATTCCTATGGTGCACATACAACCCTAATGCTTTGGATCTAAGTTTTCTCTAATTATACATGCAACATTGATATCCAAAGCATGAAGCCTAAACTACCATACAAAATTTAATTTATGAATCATAAAATTGGTTAGAAGGTTACCTCTTTATGTAGCTAGTAAGACTTTGGCCTTGTGAGAAATTAGCACCCCAAGTGTTGTGCCTCAAACAAGTCACAAACACCAATAAACAACTAGATGAATATGAGGGAGATTTAGGAGACTAGAAATCAGATTCTACTTCTTGAAATGCAAGGTGTAACCGATTTTAGCTTACGAATATATATATATATATATATATATATATATATATATATATATATATATGTGTAGAATATCAAGGGTCATGTGCAACCATAATCCATACCCATATGCTTACGATCCACCCATTTGATTTGGATAAATACTTCATGGATTAACCCATAAGCCCATCACAAATCAAACCATGGATCATTAGCCCAACTCATATGTATCAATTTAATTAGTCTCTTTTGATCACTAAATTAATTGTAAATTAATTCTTGATCAATACTAATTAAATAATATGATTCCTCAATTAATATATTATACTTATAATATATTAATAAATCATAAATAACATCTTACTCAAATATCCATCTATAAAATTGTTATGGTGAAGGCAACCCGAAATGGACCATGCTACTATCGGGTCAAGTACATACCACTTATAGTTATGGGCTTAGACACCTAATCCAACAAATGATGATGATGATGATGATGATGATGATGATGATGATGATGATGATGATGATGATGATGATGATGATAATGATGATAATGATGATGATGATGATGATGATGATGATGCTAATGATAATGATGATGATGATGATGATGATGAAAGCGATAGTGACAACGATGGTATGGATTTCATATGTTTGTGCCGACGAAGGAGCTAGTCAATGAGGCTGTGATTTCTCCAGCTGAGACAGAAAAGGAAATCAACGTTTTTAAGCAACAAAACGATCCTACGCCCGAACAGATGGAAGCTCTTATTGACAAATTACAGTCAACTGCAAGGAAACCTCCCCAAGCAGTTTATGTTACTTCTGAGTCTCCATCTGGGAGTGATAATGACAATTCAAAAGCCTCCTTACTGCCACGAAAGCGAAAACGTAGAGATCCAAGGCCGAGAGTGCTTTCTACTGAACCAGTACAACATCCCTCTCAGATTGTTGAGCCCGCTCAAGTTACTCATGATGTTCAAAGGTCCGATTATTGACCCAGCTCAAGTTATTCAAGAAGATGTTCAAAGCCCAATCATTGAACCAGCCTCAGTTCAAGAAAATGTTCAAAGCCCAATCATTAAACCAGCCTCGGTCCAAGAAGATGTTCAAAGTCAAATGGCTAATGAGGAAGCATTTGCTTCGGGAAGCTCTTCTGCCCCACCACCTCCAGAGCACGATGTTGCATCTGTTAAACTAGCCAAGTTACTAGCTTTTCAAGATTCCATTTCTCAATCCAAAGGAAAAGGAATATGTATTGGCTCCAGGCAAGGAGGTGATGAAGACTCCCATCAAACCATCTCTGAGCTTAAACAAGAGATTATGTTTTTGAAGCAGGAGTCCATTGAGAAGGACTTACTGATTGGTAGTCTGGATGTGAGAGTTTCTAACTGTCACACCCCCAAACCAAGGATGGCGGAAACGTCCGGGGGTGGAGGACTTCATGTATAGTATCACAACAACGAGTATAATAGTGCAAAAAGTAATTACAACCAATCATAAATATAATTGAAACAGTTACACTAAAGCATAGGTTTACATGATTCAAATCAATTACATTATGATGACAAAATGAACTGTTTGACGATTTATCGTCCCATCCTCAAAAGCTGTTGATTTCCTGTTTCACTGAATTCCTGAGAATACAAGTAGTTTGAAAAGTGTCAACATTAAGTTGGTGAGTTCATAAGCTTTTGATAGTAAGAGTTTAAAAACCGATCTTTGTAATGAGTTGTATGTTACCAAGAAAAATCCAATATTTTCCTTATAAAAGTTATGTGGTCCTAAATACCAGGACCGAGAATAAACAAGTATTTGTCATACTTAAAGATATAAAAGTGGTTTTAAATCGGCATAAAACCCTTTTTAAGTTGAGAAAATCCGTAATGGATGTTGTGTAGTCTTAAATACCAAGACTGAAAGTGTATAGTAATATCCATACTTATTGATAATAAAAGTGATTTTAAATCGACATAAAACCCCTTTTGATTTATAAAAATTCCCGTAAACTTTATGTGTTGTTAACTCCCTATGTGAGTCGCTATAACCATACTATGACTGAATGAACCTGCCACGGCGTTTCTCAGGCGCCGAAATTGTTATGACATTTGTCACCCGTAGACCTGCAGGTCCCACTGGAGCTAGCAGCAAGGTGTGGGGTGTCAAACCCAATATAGATCTATACACAATTATCACGTTCTCCCTACAAGAGACTCTGGTTATAACTACCAGGAATTTTAACCCGTACTCTAGGAGTACTGAGAAGAATGTCTCACAAGTTTAAGTTAACAAGTTTACGTGTGGTGTGCGTGAGCGTAAAACCTTTTTCTGTGGGAATAAAACCTTCCGAAATGTGTTTGTTGTGTTGATGGAAACATAAACCATACCTATTATAGTTTATCAAAACAAGGGTAGTAGTAGTAATGTATGTAAACTATACTTAACATAGTTTATCCAAATGTTTGTATGTAATGGATGTACTTTGATTATAATAATTTGTTATTTCTATGCTTTATCTAGCAAAATCCATTTGTTAACTGTTGTATGTCCTTATACTAAGACAAAATGTCATATAATGCAATAACATATAATCACATAAAGATATACACCTCGCTCAACATGTTACAAGGTGTAATAAAATTGATAGCATTTTTCTGTTGTTAACAATTTCTATTACTGTTCTTAGAAAATTTGTAGAAAAATCATCAAAGGTCCAAATCAGAATCCGTAAATTCTGAGAGTTTGGGAAATGAGTCTAGTTTGTTCATAAATTTTATTATGATTTTTAATGACCTCCAACTTGTGTGAAAAAGTCCATAATCACAGACTGGTCCGGATTGATGTTTGAAATGATAGGCAGTTTTGTAAAAATCACCATAAATTGTAGAAAAATCTTATGGTGATGTACAAGTAGCCATTTTAAAGCTAAGAACTTGAACTACTTGCACCTTGTATCGTTTTGAAAATAAAAATGTTTAAGTTGACCAAAACAGTCCGTGAATGGAGTCCAACTTTTCTGATGAAAGTTGTTAGAAGAATTTAGTTGTGTTCTTGGTGTTTTAACTTGTATTCCCCCCCCCCCTTAAAACGTAAGAAAACATGAAAATGTAGGGGTATGAACTCACCTTAAGTGATTTCAGTAGATGAGTGTTGGAGATGAGAAGTGTTCAACTCAAGAACACTTGAAGATGCCTAGAAGATTTTCGAGAATCTAACACCAAAGTGATGGAATTTGTGTAAGCAATCTATGATTGGAGTAGAATGAAGTGTAAATTATCACAAAAAGGATGAATTATAATTACCAAGAGTGTAAGAAAGCTTGATGATCAGCCTTGAAATCCCGAAATTGAGGGAGAAAGTTAGAGAGAAAAGTTGAGTTTGATCTTTGGTGAAATGAGAGCAAGTGAGTGAGAATGAGGGAGAGAGGATGAGTGTCCAGCTCTAAGAACGTGGGAATAACTTGTGAGAGAGGGAAAAAGTACAAGGAAGTGACAAGGTATGGTGGGGAGGTGTGGCTGGTCATAGAGTGGGTGTGGGTGGTTGCTTGTGTCATAAACTAAAGGAAAGTCAACACTCCACCTCTTGTACTTCACCCACTAAATCTTGGAGAAGATTTATCCCCAAAACGGGGGAAATTAGTAGATATGGGTCCCTAAATGTTAAAATAAAGTTTCGGGTGAAAATCCCGCGTTAAAACGATGAAAAACGAAGCTAAAATGAAGTCGTAGTCGAAAACCGGGAAGAAAAGGCTTTACTGCGAGACCTCTCGGTCCTGGCCGAGGTTCGGTCCTTGATGCTGCTGGGCCCGAAGGCGAAGGTAGGCTAGGAAGCGAAATGGGGCGAAGGCGAAATGGACCGAAAGGTAGCTTCGGTTCTTCATGCGAGGTTCAGGCCCGAAAGGGAGGTTCGGTTCCGGGGCTTCGTGTTCGGTCTTCTAGCTTTCGGTTCAGCAGGGTTTGGTCCCTAAGAGGACTTTTGGCCCTAAGAGGCTTCGGCCCTATAAGGTAGGTTTCGGGTCCTTAAGGGTATTTTACCCGTTTTTATCCCGTTTTAAGCGATTTTTGACCCGATTAAGGGTCGGGATGACCCGAAAGACTATAAAAAGTTAAGAGAGATTTTGAGAGACATTTCACATTCTTGGAGAGATTTTGGGGAGATTTGACATTCTTGGAGAGATTTCTCATACAGAGATAGATTTGGGAGAGATTTCTTTTGTGACCTTTTTGAGTGTTTGGCTTCGCAACGCAAGGTTCTTACACTATGTTAAGCCTTGTTCTAGTGTCGTACACACTCCCGATGAGTGTGCAATGGTGTGTTATCGTTTTTGTTCAATGTTTAGCATTATTAAGGCTACGGAAATTCGAACACATGAATTTTCCAAATGATGTTTTCTCATTAAAATAGTGCATTGAATAGTAATTACCTAACATGAACCCTAATATACAAGGGTTAATTTAGTTGATCGGTTTGACTTGTTGACTTTGACTTGACCAGAATTTGACGGTTGTCACACTAACCTTGAACATGAGAAATCTGTTAAAATGCGAAGATTTCCGAACTTCAAGCAAATCTTGGTGGTATAACTGCTTTATTCTTTGACCTGAAACAACGCTTACATCAGAAGTTTGGTGATGATTTTCAACCTTGAAGTGCTAAAGGCGAAGAGATTTCTACTTCTAGTTCTGATCCAGTCAATCCACCTTCTCAACATGTAAGTGAAAGAGTTGTAAGACCTGCTTCAAATGCAAATCTTGACACATTTTTATCTCATGTTCCTTCTTCTACTCAAGAAAGAAGAGAGAAGCAAGCTCGAATTGAGCAACTCAAAGGGAAGATGTTAGTGATGAAACATTCGGATCAGAATGCTCCATGTGATCACCCTAAAATGTTTTTAAGGGAAACTGGGAAGAAATTTACTGACAAGTATGAAGATCGCTCTGAAATCTTAATGTGGGGATATGATACTGACAAGAAAATGTGGGTCATGAAGCGAAAGAGCAGTCGAATTGAGTATTATGATAAGCCAGCTGACTTTATGTCCTGAACAAAAGTTGATCTTGCTGAACTTATTAACGCTCCTTTCAACAATCCAACCAATGACTTTGTGGCCTGGGATTTTAAGAGGTTTCTTGAGGATCAAGCTAAAAATAAATTTGAAGGCATGAAGACTGATTTATCGTTCACGAAAAAGGCTAAGGGTGTTATTGATCCTCACACTAATAAAACCATGGTGAATGTTATGTGGCCGCCCACAAAGCAAGCTAAAAGGATTCCGCTTCCCAGACATTTACCAGAGGGACTTTGGACTCAATGTAATTCTGGGTTTATGATGAGGTTACCGCGTCGACAGTGATCAAGCTGAAAAAGGGCAAGTATCGCATTGTCGATCCCAAAGATTTGTTGAAGTTTGGAGAACGTGATATTCGTACTTTGTCACATTTTCAACTTCTTGTACAAAATGAATTGTTTGAAGCTGTTGGCAAAGCATTCACTGCAATGGTTGCCACTGTAATTGACAAGAAGCTGTGGGTTGGGGTATTCGATCAGTCTGATGTTCATCTTGTAGACAAGCTGTAAAAGCAACCAAAAATAAACCAATGGGGAGATGGTTAGGTCATATTTTTTTGGTTTATGCTGGGCTTATAATGATTTTGTTCTTGGGCGTAGAATATTTCTATGTTAATGGGCTTGTATGTGTTCATGGTCAGCTAGTGATTTAGGTCATAATGAGTTTTGGGCTTTTGTGGTATTGTACTTGGTATATATATATATATATATATATATATATATATATATATATATATATATATATATGTCTGTGTGTGTGTGTATGTATGTATGTATGTATTCAGCCGTATAGGAGTTGGTTGTTCCATTATTAGTTCACGAGTACTTTGGAGTTCACATGTACTAGACGATTTATTCTTAATAGAATCGTGTGCATTTGAAGTTATTATGTGTTCTTGAATCATTGCTTATTTAACATTCCACATTCTTTAGGCAATTAAGATTGATATTGCATAAGATCCATAGATTTCAGACTTACACGATAAGTGATCATGTTTCATATTGCATAAACATACATAGCGAAATATAGCAAAATATAGCAATCAAGTTTGATACAATTCAATTTAAATACAATGAATAATAAATAGCTTTTCGGACATGCTTTTCCACCCCAAAACATAAAAACCGAAAATAGGGGGAGTCGTGAATACTCACAATGTTTCAAGTTGCTACAAGTGGTGCCTTGGAACACACCAACGCCTTACTATCGGGACCCAACGACATCAATCACACGCTAGTGACTTTCTATGTCGAAATCTAATGCTAATATACTAAATTCTACATATAGAGAAATGCCAAATTTTTGTTCTAATATTGGTTTTATATTAAATGGGTAACAATTTTTTCTGAAATGGTGATATTTTATACCTCATGTGCTTAAGACA